GTATCTGAGGGCTGCAGACAAATGCAATATCATGAAATACAAATACTTCCAAAGTAAACCAAATGACTTGGCAGGCCAGTTTTAGCCCACAGGCCCCACTTTGGCCACACAATATGCATGCCGCCACATGTAACTTTGTACTAGGCTACATATGTCTGCCATGTCCTGCTGGAGTGTGACATGATTTGTTTGTGTACAAACTAATATGGTATCAGAATTTTATATATTTATACTTCTCATTCAACCACAATTAAATTCACTCTATTTAGGAGGCACAATTTAAATGGATAATATTTATTTTTTACAATAACATTCTGGAATGAAAACAAGCAAAAATGAAATAAAAGTAACGACTTTCTACTTCTTGCCTTTTTAAAATGTAAGATGAGTAGAAAGTACAGATAATTGTGTCAAAATGTAAGAATTAGTAAAAGGTAGGCTGAAAAATAATTACTCAAGTAAAGTACAGATACCCAAAAATTATACTTAAGTACCGTAACAAAGTTGTACTTACTTACTTTACAACTCTGCACCTGAATTTCCCCTCAGTGACACAATAAAGGCTATTCTATTCTATTCTAGTCTATTCTATTACAGTATATTATATTTTGACGCATCTCAATAATCCAGGTAGAAAAATTTTAAAAAGTTTTGTTAAAACTGAAAGAAATCTCTTGGAGACAAATCGTTTCCACAAAGAAGTGTCTGTTAATACACATTTTTAGATCCTTTTTTTAAACTGCATTTTGTTTTCTTGTTTTTGTAATGTTTGTTGATAATTTAATGGCAAAATATTTTAATGAGGAAAAAAAACCTAGAAAGACCCATTTCTGCAATAAAAATATAGATTTAACTGTTAAAATACTGGGGTCGTTGGGGGATATTACAAAATTTACAGGAAAATATATTTTTTTAACTTTTCATAAAATCACTCATCATTTGACCCTCAGCTTGTTAAGGTTGATGGTTGAATTTCTTGAGTCTATGTCCTSTGCAAAGTCAAAACTTAATGTGGTTGACTTTTTAAAATCTGTATCTTTGCAAATTAAGCTATTAAAATTATCATTAATTTTAATAGCTTAATGACTGTATGACTGCATTAAACAGAATTAAATAACATGTTTTGAAACAGGGTTGAGTTGAATTTAAATTCCGTTATGTTAACAATAAGAATTAATCAAACGAGACACGTTACAGTCGTGAGCCAGCATTTTATTTTATTTTATTCAAGTRTACAGGTGATGCAAACACACACACGTTGCATTCAGAAGCTAAATCCAAAAGTGGTTTTCCATAAACCAGAACTTTTGGGTACAGCAGGATTATTTAAGCAGACAGTTTTCCAGTCAACCCACAGTGTAAACGACRTTTGAAATTTATTATATTTGCTTAAAAATATCTATAAACCCTTCTAAGGCATAGCAAATGACATCATGTTCAGATATTTTTTATTAACCTTGTGTTGATGAAATTTACAAACCAAAATTAGCTAAAGAAAGTTTTTTATGGCTTTATTTTCCACTTTTAATCCTTCATTCTGACTCCTGACCAAAGGYCTCTTTTACTCCACCAACGACCACATCCACCATGCCCATTATTAAGCCCCCTCCCAGCTTGAACACGTTCCCCACACCGTTACTGCTTCTCCACACCAGCTTACCCAACCCTCCACCTACAGTTTGAGCTTGACCCCCCAACTCTGACATCACCGTTCCCACATAACCCTCAGTCTGCTCCCAAAGCTCTCCTCCAAAGTACCTAGTCACCGACCAGGCATTATCCAGTACATCCMAACATATCCCCACCGTGTCCCCAGCCAGGGTGCCCACCCCTGTGAGCCCAGTGTAGCAGCTGCTCCACAGCGCCTCCAGCATCGAGGAGCTGCAGTAGTAAGCACTGGAGAAGCATGTCTCCCCGACACCCATCAGCATTTCAGTGGCTGAGCCCATCCAGGAGAGGAAGTCAGAGGTGAGGAGGTGGAACACGGTGTAGGTGTCTCCAGGCAGGGTGGTAAGAACTCCAAGATCCTCCTGAAGAACATAGGTCACCTGAGTCAAGAGAAAGGTGWTGAGATTAAAAATATGAGTTAATAAAGCAAGGAATCCAGAGACAACACACATAGCAGACAGGTGTGGGCCACATCTGGTGTCAAGCTGGCACTGCTGGCATGGCARGTGGTTTGTAAGTTTTATGTGGGCCAGGTCTGGTAATGATGGCACTGTTTTTAAGATGGCATGCCACAGCTGGACCGGTCATGGTTTGGATTATGTGGCCCAAATCTGTCAAAGCCACAACTGGTCCAGTTGTGGTTTGGTTTATGTGGCCCAATATGTCATAGCCACAACTGGCCTGGTTGTGGTTTTGTTTGTGTGACTTAAATATGTCATAGCCACAACTGGCCCTGTTGTGGTTTTGTTTATGTGACTTAAATATGTCATAGCCACAACTGGCCCGGTTGTGGTTTTGTTTGTTTGACTTAAATATGTCATAGCCACAACTGGTCCAGTTGTGGTTTGGATTATGTGGCCCAAATATGTCATAGCCACAACTGGCCCGGTTGTAGTTTCGTTTATGTGGCTTAAATAAGTCATAGCCACAACTGGCCTGGTTGTAGTTTCGTTTACATGGCTTAAATATGTCATAGCCACAGCTGGCCCGGTCATGGTTTGGATTATGTGGCCCAAACATGTCATAGCCATAACTGGCCCGGTTGTAGTTTATGTGGCTTAAATATGTCATTGCCACAACTGGCCCAATTTTCTTTGGTTTATGTGGCCCAAATCGGTCAATCCCACAACTGGTCCAGTTGTGCTTTGGTTTATGTGGCGCTGGCCCATGGCATGGACCACCTCTGGCAAACTACATCTGCGAAACCAAAGGGCCATCACTCTTTGCTGTATCGAGGGCTGAGTGTTTGTGCATAGTGTGGGCCAGAACTGGGAAATAATAACAACAATAATAATAATAATAATAATAAT